ATAGTTGATTGGATATTAACATTGATATATTTTTTTTCAAAATTTTATTATATTTTCAAATTTATATTTTATTCAAAAATAAAATCATTATTGCTTTCTTAAAAACACATAAAATCGTATTATAACATCTATAAAGACAYATAATAAATAGAACATTAAAATCGAGATTTGTCTCGCTGCATTGCGTGAGTACTCTTCTAGTATATATAGATATATCTATATATATTTGTATATTATAAAGCATTTGACAAAAATTCTTAAAAATTATTTTTTATGCATGAAATATTGTTTATTGATGCATATTACTTAAAATTACTATTACAAGTAAATTATGCGTAAGTACAACTTATTAAAGCTTCATGTTTGAATTCGTATAACTAACTTTAGATAAACATAATTAAATAAAGGATAAACATCTCATTTTAAATATCAAAAAACTAAAATATAATTAGGATAATCATGAGTTTTAACAAAATACTTGATTATTATTTTTATAAAACGTTATATTACTAAACCAAAAATAAAAAAATGAATTAAAAAAATACATAAAAAAGGAGAAATTTTAAATAGTTAGTCTGGTACTGCTATCAATTTTTTTTTAAAATTTTTTATGATATCTTCATATTTATATTTTATTCAAAAAACAAAACATTATCACTTTCTAAAAACCACATAAAAAAAGTATTATAACATCGACTAAGACAAAAAAAAATGGAACACTAAAATCGAAATGTATCTTGCTGTATTATGCAAATATCCTTCTAGTAGATATAGATATAGATATAGATATAGATATAGATATAGATAATACATGCGATGGATACATGTATTATTTGAATAAGAGATAAAATATAAAAAATATTATTAAACTCAAGAAGATAAATAAGACTTCGAAAATTTAAAATATAAATTTAAAATTTAAAATTAAAATCAGATTACGAATAAATTCCCTTCAAAGTAAAATACAAAACATTGGACTGTTAATGTACTTTATTAAAGTTTAGGGGCGCTTTTTGTAGTCTTCTGTAAATAACAGGGACAAAAATTGTAATTTTCTCTATTTTCAAGTATAAATATACACCCTCCATCACATAACTTCATTTCATGTCTCGCTCTCCCGGCGTCTCTCTATCACTCTCTCTATGGGTTCCCGCTTTTTTCTTTGATCTTCGCCTATCCACTGCCTTCTTTCACCTGCATTTGCTGATTCGGTACCGTAYCATCGTTCTTCAATCTTGGTTTTCATTATGAATCTTGTACGTTTTGATGAATCGATCGCCACCGATCATCGTAATTGTCCAGATGTATGCGATTTGTGTAGTATGCGTCTTCTTGATGGACATCGATCTTATCATCTACGGGGTTCTACTTTTGATTGTTGAATAGGTTTAGTTCACGTTTTCTTGGATCGATACTGGTCCTTGAGGTTATCACAAAGCCAAGATTCGTCTCAGATAAACAAGATTTGATGATTATACAGTATCTTGATGGACAAGATTTAATGGTACGTCTTCTTGATGGACAAGAGTTGATGATCATACGTCTTCTTGATACAAATGTTAATCATTATTTATCCGTTTGTACTCAGACTGTGTAAAGTTCGTGTGCTGTTGGTTCGATCGCTTTGTTGTGGTTCCTGCAACGCCAAGATTCAGAAACTTGTTCTGAGATGGACAAGGTTTGGATAATCATTCGTCTCCTCTGTGGTATTATTACCCATGGTTTTCTACTAATCATGTACTTGAGTTCTTTTACGTTTGCAGTGGGTGATGACTCTCCATCAGTTTGGTTCTCTTCTTGCACGCTTCTGTTTGCAGTCATATGCGTAGGTGAGAAATTAGTTGTGTATTAATAGAATTATATATGAAAAGTTTGAATTCTTGTTGATTGTTACACTCCGACATAATCCTTTCATTTGTGCAGATATCTTCAGCTCATGCAGGGGTTTCACAATGATTGATTGAAGAATAGGTGTTTGATCGAACATCTTTGTTTAGGATTTGTATTGGCGATGCATGAAGTGTTGATGTATAGATCAGGCAAGACTGCAGCAGGTACTGATTT